GAGTTCGAGTATCGATCTGCTGTCGACCTGGTAATCGAGTTCGAGTATCGACCTGGTAATCGAGTTCGAGAATCGAGACTCACGCTTTCTGCTTCTTTGCTGGTTCTACTTCTTCGCTGTCTTAAGTCTTAACGTTCTACTTCTTTGCGTCGGCTTCTATTAGGTCGATAACGTAACATAACAGGCTAAGTCTTAACGTTCTATTTCGATAACATAAGAAGCCCAACTAATAGGCCCAACTAAATACTGCAAAAAAGCCCAAAAAAYGCAACATATACATGATGCGCTGATGCTCGACTGATGCACGCATCGAGTGATGCGTAGGTGATGCGATCGCATCATGGAATCGCATCGCATCAGTCCCTTTGATGCGCTTTCTTCATCGCATCGCATCGCATCACGCATCAGTTCGCATAATGCGCGCATTTTTAAACCCAGATGGTGACAATGTATATGTCCAAGCAAAAGAAGGCACAACATTTATTATAATGAAATGAGTGTACAAGATTACTAACCAGTTTACCATGTGGTACCCAACACCTCTGAAGGAAATCAAATGAGTAGATTTTCCATGTTCATTCTTTGTTCTAATGCTGTTAATAGTCTACAATACGGAAATGAAAAGATTCTTCAAAAAACAGAGCTTCGTCCTATCGGTCCTCAGAAGAAAAGGAAGACTTTACCTGTCCAGTGCCATCTACAAATCCATCAACAGACTGAGATGGCTGTTCAGTCTGTTGTGTACTCGATAATACTACTGCCGAGGGCAAGGGAGTAGCACTGCTAGAAACCACTTCGTTATAGCTTTCAGCAATACTCTTAGAATGGTCATCCGAGTCACCAGCAACAAGAGACTCCGAACTAAAAAGTGAATTCACAATCGCCTGGAATTCGTTAGGGACATCTACTTCAACCCATGTTTCTTGATCAAGCACTGCTCTCAGTTTTGTCATCTACAATAATAATGAACAAGTTGTTCATAACAAATAGACTGAGCATATCAGCAGGTTACCAATCACAAACATTGGCAACCCAAAAATTACCCGAGATTCATGCTGGAAATCAACAAAAGTTTTGGCCTGAGACTGCAATGTTCCACGTATGCTATATCCCAACCTTCCACCAATCTGCTTATGTTAGCATAAATTTACATTATAAGCACATATAGATGACCATGATATGTATCTCGAACTTGGAACTATAACTGTACCTTTTCCGTTGCAGTAACAAATTCATGAGACATGCTATATATATGTAGAAAGTCTTGTAACCTCAGCCTTGGATGGAGAAGAGCACGGACACCAAGCAGCTTTGCCCATCTTCCATGAGCAGCATCACAAGCGGCAAACACTGCTTCTGTGTTTTCTCTCAAGACGTCAGCTCTGTTAAGAAAACAATGCCAGTGTTAGAAACCCAAGCGATGTACACTATGAGGTATCAAAGATTTTGCGGTTTACTTTGTGTCCTACCAATATTCTATATTTACAAACTTTCTGTGTTCCAAATACATAAATTATATGTAAAGTAACCCCTTCAAACTTCAAAAGGCACCACATCTAGAAGAGCAATTACATAGATTTGCTGAGGTGGGCAAAAGATGATGAACACATAGGAGAATTCCAACCAAAGGAGCAATATCTAAATTGACCATGGGTGTGAGAGGTAAGATATTGGAGCATGGTTTTTCATGAAGTATATATGCGTACACTAGACAAAACAGAAGGATAATAATAATAGCTTTTAGAAGATGAATGCAATCAATCAACCAAGCTGACCGATAGAGCCCATAGCAAATCCAACATGTTTTAAACCGCTCACCAGGAACCACGTTTCAAGAAAACACCACAGGGAATGTGAAATATGTATTAAGATGCGAAAGAATTGCCTTGATAGCAAGGCCATGTGCAATTCTCAAGGAATTATGCAACCCTACTGGACCCAGTATGTCCCACTCAGAAGTAGGGTCTAGGGTGGGATGTACTCAGACCTATCCATTACCCAAAAGAGTAGAGCCGTTCTTTCCATGAAGACCCGCCACTTGTGTAAAAGTGTTTGCAAGGTGAAATACCGAGTGCTTCAAAATTTTGTCAAAAAAGCTAGGAAGATGTTGAGAAGATTGTCAAAAAGACCAACCAAGACTAAAAACCGAAGATAGTAAAAAGGGTACACAAGCAAGAACAGAAAGCCTAGAGACATAACGAACAGTAAAACACCCCTCTACTATCTTAAGAGTCTAGTTACCTATCTATCAGCACCCCCCCCCAATCTCGCCTTCTTCCCTTCCGAACTCCCTGCTATACACTAAAATGAAATCCCCAAAAGATCACATTAAAAGATTAAGATGGTTCTGGCTTTCAAGAGGCCAGATTCTCTCCCAAGGCAATTGGCTAACCAAATACAAAAATGTCTGGATACCCTAGAAGAAACGACCCCACCACGACCATAACCTCCCAGCTACAAAAGGTAAATACAGGATTACCCTCCCACTACCAAAAAGGTAATGACAGAAATACCCCTTCTGTTCTAATGTCTAATTCTTCACTTACGAGCTCTCCTGGCATAAGTAAATCTGACTGGGGTTGACCAATACCCCCTCCAAACAGTCTCACCTTGTCCTCAAGGTGACAGTCTGGAAATTGCTGGATAAGAGCTTCAAATACTACCCAGGATGTTTCAACCTCCGTTATTCCTGCCCATTTCACCAAGACCTCCAGTTGGCCAGGAAACCTCCCTTGCAGCTGTCGTACTCCCAAAATATCTTCTGGAGTGGCTTGCAATTCCATATCTTCATTCTGTTGAGATGGGAACAAAGTTGTTGATGCGCAATTCTCAATGGCTCTCTTAACTGTGACACATGAAAAAACCGGGTGGACAGCAGCAGTGGATGGCAATTCCAGTTTGTAAGCAACAACTCCCACTTTCTCAAGCACCTTTTATGGGGCCGTAAAAACAGGCAGCGAGCTTGGGGTTGTTATTCCGTACCAAAGATTTACGACAGTAAGGGCGTAGTTTCAGAAAAACCCAATCACCCACGTCAGAAGTGACTTCTTTACACCCCAGATCTGCTCTTTGTTTCATTCAACATTGCGACTTCAACAAATGCATTCTAGCAGTATCAAGAATCTCCTCTCTATCCAGTAGCTCCTGATTAACGGACTGGAGTTTCGCTGAGTCTGGTTTGTAGCGCATGAGTGAAGGAGGGTCTCTACCGTACAAAAATATAAATGGCGATCCTTTTAGAGAGGCGTGATAGGTTGTGTTATAGGAGCATTCAGCCAATACCAGCCACTTTGCCCACTGCTTCGGTTTTTCAGAAGTAAGGCAACGTAGATAGATATTGCTCCAAACACTTATTCACGACTTCCGTTTGGCCATCTGTCTGTGGATGGTAGGCAGTGCTGTATTTTAGTTGCGTTCCTTGAGGTTTGAAGATCTCCTTCCATTGACTCAAAAAGATCGTCTCTATCAATAATAATTGATCCTGATACATCATGCAATCTTATCACTTCTTTCACAAAAACTTCTGCCACTGTTTGAGTTGAGTAAGGATGTTTGAGGCCTATAAAGTGAGCATACTTGCTCAATCCATCCACCACTACTAAAATGGCACTCAGACCTTGTGATTTCGGTAGCTCTTCAATGAGATCCATCGAGATTTCCTCCCAAACACGTAGTGGCAATGGAATAGGTTGTAGTAATCCTGCAGGAGAACCCCCCAACAAGCTTGTTTCTTTGGCATACCTCACAGTGTTTCACCATTTCTGTGGTATCCTTACGCATCCCACCCAAAAGACTTCCGAGAATCATTGGGATGTTTGTGCAATAACCAGCCTATCTTTATACAAGAGAAGACCCTGTTGGATGGAAAACCATTATGGTTCACCCCTCCTGAGCTTACATCTCCCTTAATTTTCTGAAGAAATTCATCCTCCTCGATTTCTTGCTTCAAGGCATCCCATGTTCGCCACTGTGGACCCCCCATGACGGCACATTCGGCTGTTATTACCTTTCTAGAAAGAGCATCCACCACATTGTTGCAACTTCCAGCCTTGTAAACTATCACAAAATCATACCCCAACAATTTGCTGACCCATTTTTGATACTCCGGCTCAATAACCCTTTGTTCCAGCAGAAATTTCAAGCTCTGTTGATCACTACGGACCACGAACTTCCTCCCCAATAAGTAAGGCCTCCATTTCCGAATAGCCATTACTATGGCCATTAATTCTTTTTCGTATATTGATTTCTGCTTAGCCCGCATTCCCAGCCCTTGACTGAAATACGCTGCCGGTCGCCCTTGTTGCATAAGGACAGCCCCCAACCCATACCCATACGCATCAGTTTCAATGATGAATTCTTGAGAAAATTAGGTAACCTCAGCACACATTCCCAGCCCTTCACATTTCTTCCTGTTAGCGTATAGTCGGTGTTGTGACAATACCTCAAATACTTGTTTTAGGTGCATCCCATTCTCCTCCATGGACTTGCTATATACCAAAATGGCGTCAAAAAAAAACTAACACAAACCGCCTCAAATAGGACTTGAACACTTCGTTCATCAGCCCTTGGAAAGTTGCCAGAGCATTGACCAACCCAAAAGGCATGACAAGGAACTCGTAATGCCTAGTGTATGAAATGTTGTCTCTTGAACATCCCCGGGGTGCATTCTAATCTGGTGATAGCCGGACATCAAATCAAGCTTTGAAAACACAACGGCTCCATGTAATTCATTTAAAAGCTTATCGATAACAGGGATCGGAAATTTCTCAATTACGGTAATTTGTTGATTGCTCTATAATCAACACAAAACCTCCACTACCATCTTTCTTTTTAACTAACAGTACTGGAATGGAAAACGGGCTTGTTACTATGTTGAATAACCCCTGCCTCCAACATCTCTTTAACCAATTTTTTGATCTCATCCTTTTGATAATGAGGGTATCAGTAAGACCTCACAATAACCGGTCCACTACCTTCCTATAACACGATTTTATGCTCCTTACCCCTTGTTAGTGTTAGACCCTTCGGCATATTAAACACCCTTTCATAGTCTGCCAACAAGGTAGCCGAGGCTTCTGGATCATGCGGATTGTTGGCTGCCATGTCTGTGAGAATCCCTAACTCCACTAAAACTCCATGACCCTCCTGTTTAATAGTTTTACCCATCGTTTATAATGATACCAAAGTTTGACCAAGTGACCGGTCATCACGTAACATAATTGAATCATTACCCAATCTGAGATTTCCAATTGATGCAAGTGGCACACAGAGTTATGAGCCACTGCACCCCCAATATTACATCCAAATTTCCCAATTAGATAGGCAAAAATTATTCCCTTATCTCCAACCCCTAACCTTAACTCCTCTGCGAATGCCTTCCCCTTTTATGGTAGATCTGGTACCCATAGTAATATTATATTCCCTAGTGCTTTTCACCGACAATTGAAGCTTCTCCATTATATCTTCTAAAATAAAATTATGTGTGGCACCACTATCAGTGAACACCACTACTTTAAGTTCTTGAACATTCCCCTCCATTTTCAGAGTTTTTGGATTAGTTAAACCGACAACGGAATTGAGATGTACCTCTACATTTTGACCAACCTCCAAGGCATCCTTCATTCCCTGCTTGTCGTCTTCTTCTTTCGGTTCGTCTTCATCACTTTCATAATCTTGCACCAATAAAGCACTCACCTCCCTCTTCTTACATTTGTGCCCCAATGAAGATTTCTCGTCACACCGATAACACAAACCCATCAATCTCCTCTATTATACTTCTTGGTCAGACAACCTCAGATATTCAGTACCAGCTGACGTCATGGGAATTTTTCCAGAATCTTAGTTTAACGGCTTCTTTTCTGCAGTGACCCTCTGCACGGAATTCGATCCAACATTTCTCTCTCGTCCCAAAATATGGTTCTTAACTTCTATTTTCATGGTCGTTTCCGTTGCTTCACTCAGATTGATTGGGTTCATAACATAAGCCTCAACTCTACCCTAATTGAAGCTTCTAGACCATTAATAAATTGACTATGAAGTACCTCTTCGGGGAGACCCTCTAAAGGGACTGCCAATTCAATGTATTTCCTCCTACAATCCGCCACCGAACCTTCTTATTTCAACGCCAAAAATTGCTCGCACAAGGATCCAGCAGTAATAGATCCGAATTCATGCAACAACGTTAATTTCATTTCTTCCCAACACAGGATAGGCCACCTTTTTGATGCTCCCATTGGAACTACCTTAAAGCATCTCCCTCAAAAGAAATAACCGATACTTCAATTTGTTTTGCTTCATTCAAGTGATTCAGATCAAAGCATCGTTCAGCCCTTAAAATCCACCCATCAGGGTCCTTTCCGTCGACCATTGGCAGCTCTAACTTTCTCCCTCTAATTGCTAAAAACCGGACAGCATCTCCACCATCATTTCTTTTACTTTCTGCTCTCTTTCCTGTATGTCTTCATTGTCCTCCGATCCTGATTGCGATCCTCCTTTCTCATCTTTCTCTTTCACTAACGATTCCAGATGACGCATCATGATTTGAACATCTTACTTCAGCGACCTAATCTCCGATTCGAACACCCCCATGCCACCTTTGATGTCATCCATCCTTGAAGCTACACTTCTCGTCATCGCAGAGATTGACTGCTTTGATACCAATTTACACTAGAATGAAGATCCCAAAAGATGACTGTTGAAAGATTAAGATGGTTCTGCCTTTCGAGAGGCCAGATTCTCTCCCAAGGCAATCGGCTAACCGAATACAAAAAAGTCTGGATACCCTAAAAGGAACGACCCCACCACGACCATAACCTCCCAGCTACAAAAAGTAAATACAGGATTACCCTCCCACTACCAAAAAGGTAATGACAGAAATACCCCTTTTATTCTAAATTTTAATGTCTAATTCTTCACTTACGAGCTCTCCTGGCATAAGTAAATCTGACTGGGGGTTAACCACTCCCCTCCTCCCAACTTCGCTCGCTACATGTCCCTACAGAAAGTAGATAATCTAGTAGAAATTTCTAATAAAGAAACAATTAGACCTATTCAAGAAAAGGGAACTACTAGAAAAAGAACAATGGCATTGATTTCATTACACAATGTTGTACTTGATTTCAGTAAATCTCAGCAACATAACATTTCCTATAGACATCAAATATTGCATGCTCACCAAAATTAGCAACAACTGAATGGAAACAGATCACCTGAAATTTTTTGACAAATTTGATGAACTTGTGGCATCATTCCATTTTGCCTGAATTGGAGAAACCTTGATAATATTCCTTTGAGTTGAAAGAGGAAAGGATCCAGACTGACCATCACCCACAGGATCTAATTCTGCAGTCAAAGCACCATGAGCAATTGCAGCAGCAACTGAATCAGCAGCATAGTGACCATCAAGATTGGACATTATCCACTCGATGGCTTTTTTAACTTCAGCAGCTCGAAGTAAGTGTGCCTGCATTCACTAGTAGAATATAAATCAAGTTACATTTTATTGATACAGTAGTTTAGGTCTGAATCTATTAAAAGCTCAATCACTGAATCTATTAAAATCTAGTCAAAGTTGATACTTTTAATGCAAATCATATTTAGAAAGTGCACCTACCTTGTTTGATAAAAAATGTAGAAGTTACATGTAATGTAAGTAGTCAGTAATTGTTTTAACATCATTTCCAAACTCAAAGTTGATAGATATTCTTGGATGAAGGGCTCAACGTTTCGTGTGAAAACAAAAATGCACTTAGTTTAATAGCTTGATCATTGGTGGTGAGCATCTAAGGTCAATCACGATATATATGTTCTTTTTTTAAGAATCATAAAAATTCTACAAGAGGTCTCACTAGAAAGTTGCTTTAAACTTATATAGAACTAATGAAGAGGAAAAATCGGTACTAAAACAAGAAGTCAAGAACCATTCTGACAATACCAAAAAAAAGCCACTGGGGTAGAAGTAATATCTTGATCCCTTCAACTTCAAGGAACATACTGAAAGGAATGGAAAATATTGCCTTTTTCTTAATATCTTCCTACTATGTGCTTTTAACTTATCTTTAACATTCTTATTATTTTATGTCAATAGTCATTACTATTAATACTTATTTCTAACTAGTACTCCACAACTACAAATAGTGGTGATGGCTCCCTCCCCCACCCAATCTCTCTCCCATTATCAGATACAAAAATAATATTTAAGCTCCTTGATAGGAGTCGCACAGTTTTAAGAATTCAAACTAATCCTAAATCAAAGTCAGGGCATGCACACGAAATCAAATAAGGTATACGTTACCTGTACAATTTTAAAAATAGTACCAAGAAGTTGAACAAAGCTTTCAGAAGAAAGACTTCTTAATTTGCTTGCAAGTGATGAGCCTCCACCTGCACGAGCACATAATATTTGAGAAAAAGAGCAGTAAAAACATGTAATGGTCTCATCATGTTCTGGCAAATAAACTAGAAACACAGTCAAGTGAGGCCTGAAAGGAGACTCATAAGGGTCATGTTCCTTTATCTGTAAATATGTGACGAAATATCGTTTTGTCAAGATTCCCGCCACATAAATTCGTTTTGAAAAGCTTAATTAGTTTAAGCACAAAATATTCAAATTCAAATGAATTCCCAAACTGATACTTTAACCACTTATTGAAGCAAAAAAATAGAAGTGACTAGTAGGAGCATTCACTAGATGAAATCACCACAAATGGAACCAGAAACGTAATTGTTACAAGAATATTTTGTTTTATTGGGGCGAAGATTCTTTCCAGGAAATCTCCACAGTTTTTAGAATCAATAGGTCTTTAAATCGTTCATTTGAAAAAAATTGCGCACCATCTGCATCAACAATCCGATCGCCTGACTTAAAATCAGACTCCAAGGGTCTAGCAAGAAGAACAGGAAGCAGCTCCGCAACAACAGACTTAATAGCAGTTTTCATGTCAGATGTAACTGTATCACGATATATTCTCAACACAGAAGGTAGTTTTGCCTGAAAATTACAAAGATACATAAGATAATCCCAATGTCTCCTAAATGATGAATCTTGCAAGAATTGAAAGCAAGTTATAGCATTCAAAAGCTAGTTAGGTGAATAAATCATACAAAAGGAAGTAACATAATCTTCTTGAAGAAAAATGTACAATAACAATTCAACCTTCTTACATCATCTATGGACAAACTAATAATTTAAGATACTACAATAGTATGATGATATCACAAGCAAATTGAACTACGCGTCTCATGGGAACAAAGACGATGAGCAATATGCCAAGAGCAGACATGTGGTCAAAGGAAAGGTTCAGTTTCGGAACGTTACTAATGCTCCGTTACTGCATATCATGCGAATTGAGTCTTTACAAACTCCTCAATAATTATGTTTATCTGAAAAAAAATCTGGCATGACAAGGACCATTGCAAGAAATGTTATCTATGGTTAATTGTTTGGATCTGTATCACTCTGAACTTTGCTGTTGATTTAGGTAATTATCCCCCCAAGATTTCTCAGATATTCTATGGTGTTTGTCTTCTTAAGTGTGATGTGAAACGTAAAAAATATTTGATATATAAAGTGTAATTGCCACCCTAAACTTCCAGATATCTCAAATATACTAAACGTACAAAGATACTCACAGTTCTAAGTAAGCCTATAATTAGAGGTAGAAGTCGATCGTGGAAACTAGAAGTATCTTCTTGATGCAAGTGTTCCTGTATCATACAATTAATGGTGTTAGTATCACAGTTGCACCACACATCCTGCAAAAAACATAACTGCCATACAAGTTATTCCATACTTCATTATCTTCATTTCCCCATGAGGCCATCCTTGCTTTTGCATTAGATAATATTACCACATCCCTATCTCCAGCATCATTAATAGATACACGCAAAAACTCTGCTGAAAGAATGCTACAAGAATAAACACTTTAAAGTCACAACAGAGAAAGCAATATATGTGAAAATGGCTACGATCTACCAAAGAATTTCAATTCACATTGGATATTTGTCATTATTCTTCTAAAAACACCAAGCACATAAAGAAACAAATTTATGTTTGGACATTTGCTTACAAATCCAATGTTTGACATGCATTCATACAACAGAAAACTGACAACTCGGATGTATTGACAATATGCAAGCAGACAATGGATTTATTCGTTTGTTTTTTTTCCAGTTTAAGTACAATGAAAAGTATTTTAGACCAATGTCCATTGATTTTCTAGGTAGATTTAAATGACACATATACATAAGCACTAAAATGATTTAGTGGACCTCAAGAATCCTGCCCTCTAAGATTCAGAGTGAAGGGAAACAAGATTATAGGATATTTTCTTTTAATAAAAGAAAAGCCATCACTATGCAGAGTACACCATACCGATCATAGCCATTGTGCCAAGACAATAATACCCTAATTAGAGACATAATAATATTAAAAATTTGATGATAAATATAGCCCTACATCCAACACTCCTCAAGTTGAAGCAATCAAGCATGCATATCACAGATGCTTGTCTTGTCACATACAGGGTTAACGAACCTAATCTCCTCAATGAACCCAAAAATGGCTCCATTGCTTTTCCAACCACTTTTCACAAACAAAATGATGACCAACCTCAATATGCTTTTCCATTAATGAAGAATTAGGTTCATCAAGATATGAACAGTTGAATGTTTGACAACATATTTCCATCACTCATGCCAAGAAACCCAGGTCTTACATTAGCCCTTTACTTGAGTCAATTCACAAGTTGGGCATGTCATGGTTTGTTATTTTGTATCTTACCTTACCATGATATAAGATTTCCACCAAATAAACATTGCAGTTACATGGGCATCCTACATAACTCGCATCTTGTTATCCAATAATTTGTGTATGTCCTTGATCAATGTAGATGAGGCCTTTCCCAGATGCACCTTTGACATATTGTAAGGAGACAGTAGCAATTGAAGAAGAAAAATAGAGATGAATTGAAATGCAAGAAAGGGAACCAAATGCTTTCAATTAATCGATATGGGGTTTCTGAGCTCTCCCGTACAGAAGTGTTGTCAAACTTCTCGATACTTCTCACCTCACCACTCACAGGCTTCTATAACAAAAAAAACAATGTAAAATTCCTACACTACCCTTATGGCAGAAAATCCTCTGTCATGCAATCGACTGTAGTCCACCCGCTCCTTTACTTCCCACCTTTTGTGGTCCCAGCCTCACTGAACTTCCCTTGAGCCTTTCTTCTACAATAGGTGAATTGAATGGGTGGGTGCGTGTCACGTGTCTTATAATATGTACCTATAACCTAGTGAACTGAATGGGTGGACATGAACCATCATTCCACTCACTAAGAACACAATGTCCAATCTCTTGTCAATGATAGAGTTCAATTTTCCAATAAGTCCAATGACTCTTCCAGGATCATCTAGTGTCTCTCCATCATTCATTAGAAGCTTGCTAACTCAGACCATGAGTGAATCCACTTTTGGTAGTCCAGTAAATCTACTTTAGACAAAATATCGAGTATGTACTTACTTTGGCAAAGGAATAACTTCTTTGAACTGGAAAATCACATGACTATGCACAAAAGTTTGTTTTATCATATTGAGTTCCTTCTTATTGAGTTGGATGTAAAGTGGATTTTCTATGTGTACCGCTTGTGGATCCACATTATAGCTTTGGAGAAGTCATTGTTATGTGATCAAGCTGAAGACAGTATTATCTTCATCATTCGAATAGATTAATACAAAAGAACTGAAGTTGTTACGTAGATAGTGATGCATCTCAAAGTTATTCCATTCGTAGCAACTAAAAATATGTTATATTTATGAACAAATCACACAATTTTATAAGCAGGGTATTAATCAAGATAACTTCTTATTAGACAATTAAGTGTGATATATATATATAATTATATTAGAGGGTCTAGAGTGTAAATGTATCTCTTATATATATATCCCTGATTGTAATCGGTATATACACACACAATTACCAAGTTTATCATGGTATCAAAGCCGGCCCTAAACGCCCTACGGCTGCTGCCCTACCGCTGCCGCCCTACCACAGCCGGCCCTAAACGCCCTACAGTTGCTGCCCAGCCGGCCCTAAACGCCCTACAGCTGCTGCCCTACGGCTGCTGCCCTACCGCTGCCGCCCTACCGCAGCCGGCCCTAAACACCCTACAGCTGCTGCCCTACCGCTGCCATCACAAGGCAACCCTAAAGCTACCGCACCCGTCTTCTACCCTACGGCTGCCTCACCTTCTGTCCAATGACAACTGTTGCAACTTTCACTCCAACCGAGAAAACCACCCATAACTCCCACAAGTTTGGCTTCACTTTATCACCAAACAACTATGGCTATTGGAAGACAATGGTTCAATCGTTCCTTGTCACAAACAACTTGTTCGGCTATGTTGATGGCACCATTCCTTGTCCACCGATGACTATCTCATCATCATCATCATCTGGAAAAGATGCCGACAGCACCACAATGCCCCCTCCACAACCGAATCCTAACTACACAGCATGGGTTTCCAATGATGCTCATGTACGGATGCTGATTATTTCTACAATCTCTGAGGCGTCGTTCCAACACGTTCAAGGACTTACCTCCCGTGATCTTTGSCTGTCTCTTGWACRTGCTTAYGCTCCTCACAYATCATCTAGGGAATACACCYTAAAAACTCAGCTTCTTAAACTAGAGATGAAGCCTGCTGAAACCTCCTCCGCATACCTGACCAGGGCTCAAGAATATGCTGATGCTCTCGCCAATATAGGCGAACCAATGAAAGAAAAAGATTTGGTGATGTTGGTTATCTCGGRTCTTAGAGAAGAATACAACGGGCTGAAGTCAACACTCCTTGGTCGCCAATTCCCAACTGCCTTTGCAGAACTTCATGGCCTGCTATCAGACCATGACTACATGATCAAGAAATCTGCAACTGACATCTCTTCGCCTCAAGCATTCTCGACTGTCACGAACAACTGCAACTCAGCGGTTCCTGGTGCCACCTCGTCTACTCCTCAACCGGATCAACTTCAAGCTATTCAACAGCTTCTGTCACAACTTGGTCTTCAAGTTCAGCCTGTTAATGCACAGTCTGCACATGCCTTTTACACCAACAGATCTGGGAATAACCGTGGCCGTGGACGTGATTCTAGACGCGGACGAGGAAACTACAACAACAGAAGTCAAGGAGGAGGTAACCGTAATCAATTTAGTTGGGTTTCTAATCAAAACACTGTTTTTGGCACATGCAACAGGTGTGGGATTGGTCATATCCCGTCTCATTTGCCCCAATCGAGACCCTGCTCCTATGAGAACGAGACAACCACCTTCTGCCAACTTTACAAATTACCGGTCACAAGCTTGGCTTCCGGATACAGGCTCTAGCCATCATGTTGCACCGGACCTATCTASCTTCGATAACTCTGAGGCCTACTACGGTGAGGACAAYCTTCACRTTGGCAATGGTAAGGGTTTACCCATTCTACACATTGGTTCCTCACAACTTCATTCACCAAACAAAACATTTTSCCTTAAAGACATACTACACGTACCTGACATAAAACAGAACTTACTTTCTGTTCAAAAATTYTGTTTTGATAACCATGTGTACTTTGAATTTCACTCTACTTTCTTTGCTGTGAAGGACAAGTTCACACACACTATCCTCCTCACTGGTCCAAGTAATGGTGGTCTCTACTCCTTCCGTCTTCCACAGCCTCAGCCTGTTCAGAAAATGTCGTTTTCTACCACACGTGCCTCTTCCACCACATGGCACCAAAGACTTGGACATCCACATCCACAACTTTTGAAGTCCATGTTATCTAAATATCATTTACCTTTACAAAATAAGTGTG